TATATATATATATATATATATATATATATACTGCACTCTGTGTATTGTATTTAGTACTTTGACTAATTATTTTGCCAACGCACGAATATATTTGCACTCCTCAGTTCGTTTGTATTTAGTAATCGACAAACTGACTTTTGTCGAAATTTACTCCGCCTTCTTGTTCTAACATATCGCTGCTGTCTCACCTCGTCAGGATGAGCTTCCCAGATTTTGTTGTTGAAGTGGTTTGCAATTCCCCCTTGATACTGCTTATTTTTTGTGGCGCCTTGTTTATACTTCTGTTTAATGTACTGGCCTTGTTTTCCGCCTTTGCGAGTTTGTATAGTTTGTCCGTCATTGTGTCTCCTTTGTCTCGAATTGAAGGCCCTGTTCTGTTGAATGTCGGTGAGCTGTATCACCAGGCGGGTGTCGCTACAGGCGAGCCAACACTTACCAACAATTTCGTACTCATTAAAATCAGAACTTATAGAATTCGGAATAACATAATTCAAATATCCACTTTTATCAATCACTTCCTTTCTCCGTTGGATGCAAGGGCACAACCACGACCGCCCTAAGCCCACACCGCTGCCACCTTGCAGGAGCACTTCATACAGACTGTTGTCTATAACTGATCCTATAACCTCCTCTACTTGTTGAAGCCTTCCTACTGCATCTGCGGGCCCCCCTTGGGGGTTCCCGTCTTCGGGGGGCTCAGCACTGCTTGGGCAGCAACCCAATGCTGTTTGTAGGGCTGCTAATATGGAGGGAGACGCGTGGAAGTGAGACGCTTTTAACTCGACAGGATCACAAAGAAAGAAAAAGCCACCAAATATCTGGAAACGAGCCGGATACACAACACAGTCACTTTTTACGCAGTTAATTTTCGTATATGCATCTACATATGTGTTTCAGACGGACAATATGTCTACGTTATCTCATGCGTGAAAATATGAATACTAGCACATTGTTATACGATATCATTATAACTACAAAATGGTGGCAACACGTGGCTTTGTGCTGGTCGGGCTTCACGCAGATCACACCAAACAGCAACAAACACACCCCAAAAACTTATTGTCTGCCTCGTCCTATATTAGAGCAGGCAAAACAACCAATACAACGATCCATGCATGCCTCACGAAAAGTTTGGTGCATGCGTCTTGCCTTTAGTTTCTTTAGAGAAGAGAGGAGAGAATTCATCTTCACGTATTCCCCCTCCTCCTTTTCGAATTCGTGGGCAAACTGCGTATAGAGAGCAACCCACCGATGGGGCGGTAGCAGGTGCTGCAGCGACCGCGGAATCCAATTTATAATATGTTTCCACTTCATGTGACTCTTCAGCTGTTTGCTGCTGTCGCGGCGAAGGGTTCCTTCAAGCCAGGAGACCTTCGCGCTGAGTGCAACCATACAGTTCAAGCCAGTCCTATTCCACAAACGGCGGGGAAAATTACTCTGGGAATAGGTTTACGGGCAGAAAAAGAGCAATACATTAGGATTCAGTGAAGGCAGGCGCTATTTCGCCGCAAAGCTGAAACATTAACTGACAAAATATTTCATCTTTCTCCTGTTGGTTTGTATTCTGACTGTCTCTTTGACTACACTGCGCTCGTTTGCCGCTTTAAGAACTACAGAGCTTGCATTGTTGATAGGTTATTCATCGTTCGGAACTTGTGTGTTGAGACTATTCATCGGTTGCAACTGTTGTGTTGTTAATTGACTTCTTTCTTTCCCCCACGCGATTTCTGCAATGACTTCAGGGGCCTCTTCCAGCGGGTAGTGCAAGAAGCTGGAGGCGCCTTGTAGGCACGTCAGCCGGCTGTGAACCGGGTGTATAGTTATATTTTCTTTTGTTTTCAAAAACGGCCTTCGGAACACGAGGTAGACCTGCAGCAACACGCCACTCTCCCGATCAGAAGGAAGTAACGTACGCGATAATAACCATCGTTTTAAATTCAGTATTTTTGAAAGCAACGCATGCAGTACGTTTCGACGTGAGCAGCTGAGTGTTCGTAGGAGCATTTGGAAGTCTTAATAGGCAACAATATGCTCCTCAAACAGCAACAATAAAACACGGTCAAATGGATGCAATTAAATGATCACCTCTCAGAAAAGAACGGCCCATAATAAAAGAACAAGCACATGCAGTACAATCAGAGGTCTGATCTGATCATATATATGATACAATATAATTTGATGTATACAATGGGAAAATTGAGTTTGACGTTATGTAGCTTTTACAATTCTTCGTGTGCTCAAGGGCATGCAGGCACCTGTCTGTTGCTCTTATTCTGAATAATAGGCAGCAGCACCTCATCTTCAAGCAAAGGCCGAAATGCAGGAGGCCCCTCCACCCCTCCAGAAGAAATCTTCAAAAGATAGCGTGGCAACAGTTCCGCTATCACCTAAACACAAAACGCACGATCCAGAGAACCTGCTGCTAATGCCGCTGGTGGTGCTGCTGCTTATTCTGCTGCATATGTTGCTGGAACTGTAAACTTAAAATAACAAGCATGGCAACGGCAATGATGAGGTGTGGTAACGAAAATAGCAACAACAGAATAACAGCAAAGAATAGCAAAGATATGGGTAGCCAATTAATTGGTAGCCAATTAATTAATTTCGTCCGACAATAGACAAAACTCAGTAGGGATACAGCTGCATACTGCGTATGCATGCAAAGTCAATATATATCAATACACGTGTAGAATGGTAAGTAAGGATGTTCATGCGTAAATATACACATACATATTACACACATACACAACCTAAACAAAATGAATAGACGTGTCTATGGTGTATAAACAAGTGTAAACAAATGCATGCATAAATCTAATCTGCAATTGCATTATTTTGCAAGTACTAGTAAAGCATACATATATTATGCATACCGTCTCTGCACTTGTATATGCCTTTATGTGTACATGAGCGTATAGATATACCACCATCATATGCCATAATATTATAAATTAAACACAAGTGCTATACTGCAGTTACTGCTGAAGTTTATATATGTGTATATATGTGCATGCATATATAATATTCGACAACATAGTTATATGTGTGAACACGCCAGCATGTGTATACGATATGCATGCGTATACACGCATATATGCTCGCACAGAATATAACATCATGTCAAGCAATAACTACCCATTCATCTGTGTCTGGCAGATCCAATGAGCGGCAGACGGCAGCGCGAAGAGAATCAGCAGTTGCACGTAGCCCCAAAACAACTCTGTGTCTCGAGCCTCCCTCCAGGTGCACCTGAATGTACAGCGAACGCACAGGCCCAAAATTTGGATTTGCGAGAACCTTAAGTTATTGGAACGCCTGCGTAAAAGCGTATCTTCACATTAGACGCATCTCTACATATAAGCAGTTCTTTATCCGGGTGTGTGATTACACATAGACGTATATATAATGCATGCATCTGTGCAACTGCTTGTAATATGCACACACAGCGTTTCCAAATTGCGTGCACCTGCTCTCCCACATAATTTCCAAATAAAGACGGAACACGAATATGTAAATTGACTGCATGCATATTAGAGGAACGATTAAATCTACGGTTGAACTGCACTTCTACTTGAATGTACTGGCTCTGCTGTTGCACGGTCAGGGCCATGCATAGTGTGGCAAGCCAGCATCTGTTACTGCAGCACTACACCAGGGCAAGCAAGCTTTTGTGCTGTTATGTGCTGTTGCATAAGGCAGCCTTTGCAGGAACTGCTCTGGACGTCTGCCCGAAGTTTTCTCGCCTGAAATTCGAAGGTGGATTTTTTCTGTGCAGGATCGACAAGATTATCACACTCGTTGTCTCCTCCCTCAATTTCGTTGTTTTCTTTTGTGTGCCGCTCGAGTGCCTGCAGTGCCTTGCTGCATATTTGCTGTAGTTCAAGTTCGTGGGGCGTAAGTGGCTTAGCGGTTGCTGCTGTTGCTGCTGCTGGTGGATGAAGCAGCAACAGCATCGGCTGCTGCTGGGGCTGCTCCATTGCATGCAGCTCAAGCACCTGCCTGACGTAAGGGAGGAGCGTGGAAGAAGGGGGGCAATTTTCGCAGAGGGCAGAGAGCAGAAAAAAGCCTTTAATGACGCTGTTGAAATTATTGTTTTGCCGCAACTGCTTAAGGACCTGCACGTACACCTCGTCGCGCAACAGTTCACAGGCTGTTGCAGCACTTATGATATCTTTTCTGCAATCATCCCTAATGCTAAATACATCGCCCATCGCCCGCTGCACGTGTCTAAACATCTTCACAGCCTCAGGCCCCAGCGCAGCAGGCAGCAGCAACAGCGGTCCTCGTATCTCTTCTTTCTGGAAGCGCAGCAGCAGCTCCCGCTGCAGCAGCAGCTGCAGCTCCGCTTTTGTCCCCTGCAGGAAACGCATCAGTGCTTAAAAACGCACTGACTTTGCGTGCATACACTTGGCATGCAACATCCCGTGATGGCAGCCGAGTTGAGCATGCAATGGATAAATAAAACTCTTGTGTCGATAAATATAAAATATATCATCATTGAGACAGGGGCGCCTACTCACCTTTGCGCGTTGTATTTGTTCATTAATTGCCAAGCCTGGGTAATTTTCAATCGCAAAAACACTGTGTATACTTGTGGCGGTTTTCGGTCCGCCGGAGAAGTCCTCTGCAGCTTCTAGAGCTGCTTTTGCTGCTAGGAGGATGTCCTGTCTAACCCCAACACCAGCTCTCGCTGATGCTCCGGTCCCTCTTGCTGCCTCCACTGCTGCTGCTGTTACAGCTGTAGCTTGTTTAATGAGGTTCGAAAGGCGCGATATGTCTGCAGCCGAGACGGACCCCCACGAAAGCAAAATGATCCCTTCTTTTAACTCCCCCTCCAAATAAGAAGCATCTGAGAGCCTCCGCAGCTGCTGCTGCGCCACAAGAACCTCCCTACGGCCTGTAGGTACACCCGCGTCTCGCAACCTGCAGCAGCGAATGCACCGGCACCAGCATCAGCAGCAGCATCAGCTCCAGCACCAGCAACAACAGCAACCGCAGAGTGAGTAACAGTTTTCGTTTGCTTTAACCCTCAACCCGCAACGCCAAAACGAACGAACAAACGAACAAACGATTGGTCAAACGAATAGTCACGAAGAAGAGAAGAACATTGTGGAAAAGAAAAGGTACAAGCACAGAGGAAGGAGACAAACTCCTTACCGACTCAAGAGAAACTGCAGTGCCTCCACGTCGCACTGAGAAGACGCCTTCACAAGCTCTCTTAAAAACTTATTCAAATATCCACTTTCTCCATATTCAAATTCGTCAGGTGAGCTTTCAACTACTTCCCGCCCAACTCCTGGTGCAGCAGAAGCAACAATATCAGCAGTAGTAGCAACAGTTGTAGCAGCCAACGTAGCAGCAGCAGGATAAACATGGTACTTCATTCTATGTGTCTTTTCACTGTTGCAAAAGCATGAGACCACCAGGCATTCGGTTCCTCGATGCATGCACTTCTTCAAGTTTTTCTTCTATTATTTGTGTATGTATTAAAAACTATGCTGCATCGTTCCTCTTTTGCTGTCGTTGGTTTGTCTGCCCGTACATCTTCACTTGTGTCTGCTTCTGTCCGTGCCTTATCACTTTTCACTATCTGGACTGATGGAACAGGGCACAGTAATTATATCCGAGGGAAAGAAGTTACGTTTGTTGCCTAACGACACTTCTTCTTCGCTGTCGCTCTCTGTGTACTCCGAAGACGGCTGCGAAAATGTGCGGCGCCTGGCCGCGACTCTCTTGCCCGTTTTCCCTGCAGAACAAAAAAACGGAAGAAGTTTACTTGCCTTTTTCTAGTCTTCATGCGTACATAGAGGCCACTCGTAAGCCCCTGTATTTCCAGCAGAAAAATACACAAGACAAACAGAATCAGAAGCAGAAGCAACGAGTCAAATGTGATTGTTCAGAACAAAACGCATACACACACCCATGTTGCCCTCCTCGCTTGTCCGCTGGCCGAACGTTGTAATTGCGGATATTAAATGCCCCTCTATCCGAGCACAACTCTCCACAGTCTGCAACAGTAGTACAATGACGAAAGCAGAAATAGTTCCAAGTTAAAACGGCTTAGCCGTTTCAAACACAACAACTTATTCCCGTCCAGAGTTCTCAAATGCGACTAAAAGTACAGGCAGCACAGACAGCGGAATGGAGTTTTGGGCGAGTATGCATACTGATACTAAAGCTGGTCGTGCAGTTGTAGAACTGTTGTCATGTCTTTATGTGCAGCTGAATGCATATATCTGCTTAAAAATAGGGGCGTCAAAACACATCCAAAGCTCTCCTTCATTCACCCCTACCTCCCGTAGCACATCCTGTTGCATGCTGCGGCATGTTCTAATTCGTTGCAGTTCATTAACCCGGTCGAGAGATTCCCTCAGCATCTTGTCGCCTTCTGTAACATCACTTTGTATAGGTTTGTTGTTACTGAAGGTTCTATTGCTCATGCCCTCCGTGGTTTCACTTCTCCCCTTGTGCTCCTCGTTTTCAGTCTCCTGCTCGGCTCGCTTGACGAGCGCCTCGGCACATTTAAACACTTCTGACAGCCCTTCCACAGCAAAGGGCGCTGAGGCCTGGTAAAATCAATTCAAGAATAAAAGCTTGCAAGAAAAGGCCAATAGGTAATTTCAACTACCTCCAGATACGAAACGAAATAGAGCGAGAGGCGGATTATCATTATTTGACATGAAGCATGAATAAGTTATTCCGGATCCCGTTACCTGCATTTGCTTTCCTTCTTGTATAAGCTTGTCAAGATCTGGAATAGTCGTATTTACGTCCTTCTGCACCTTCTCTAAACGTGCTGTCAATTGGTTCAACAGAGTTTGTTCCTCCTCCAAGCGGATTCGCACGCTCCTTGCCTGTTTAAATGCATCAAAACAGGCACCCAAAGACGTTCTGTTTATGCGCGTCATTTTGCAGGGGACTACAAGAATCCACACACCAGACCATCCGGCTTTTGGACGAGTTATGTAAATACGCTCAGTTCTGGTTCTTCATGTTATTTGTTGCTAGGGAACACTAAAAACGGGTATGCGGCCCCTGGTATACTTTGTCTTCCAATCTGTATACACTCCAGGAGGACCCACACGATCAACGATGTCGTTTTCAATACATCGGCTTTCTGCGTGAGAGAGGGCAGCGGCCCAAGCATTTACGTCAGCACACCGTTCATCCAGCAGCGCCCCAAGCTTTCTGCAAGCAACAATGAATACGAATCAAGCTGTATCACATAAACACACGTAGAACAGCGCGGCACGCAAGCGTTTAGGCCGAACGGAGACAATACACACTCGGAGAGGAAAGCCTAAACGAATCCACATACGCCCGTCCGTCAAATGAAGAAACAAGCAAGGACAACAACGCCGAGGAAAACAGCAGCAACAACAAACAAAGGCAAACAACAATATGCAGCAACAATCAAACAGCATCAGCAAACAACAACAAGCATCAACCAGCAACAATCCGCAGTAACGACAAACAAGCTTCCATTGGTTGCCATTGTGCGTTCTTTGCCGTTGGGTGATGCTGGACTGTGGCTCTATTGTCGGCTTTTGTCATTGTTTTTTCGGCACACAACACACAATGAGCAACACACGACACAATCGGAACACCAAAGAAGCGACAACAACGACAACAACAAACAACGAAGAACAATGACAGCAAAACCAACAACAACTAACATACATACATACACACACATACACACAGAACAGAACAACACTTACAGAGTCACAGAAACCTCGTCGTTCATTTTCTTCAAGGCTTCGCGAGCTGCAAGGAGAATTGGCAATTGTGAAGAGGGAGAAAGGGCCTCAAACCTTTTAATGAGAGAATGCAACTCTATGGCCCTGCAAAACAACAATTTATGCATGCAGTGACAATTTGTCTGTTCGCCGGACTGATGAACAGCAGCTGACACGGCCAGATGGAACGCAAAGAGTGAAAAAGGATGGCATATGGAAACACACAGAAACACAAAGAAACACACATGTCTATTTATATTTCTTTCGGTGCCTATGTTCGTCATGCCGGTCTACTTGTAGCCCTTTGTTGCGTGCTGGGTGTACGTGTTTTGTCTGCTTGCATGTTTCTACAGCTGTTTCAGTTCCTCATTAGTCAGGGTGTGCGATTGTCTGCCAATGTGACCGTCTGCTGTCTTGCACTGGCAGTTAACGATAATATTTGCTAGATACTTCGCTCATTTGCACACCCTTAAGCCTGCAAGTTGAGACACGAACACCTGCAAGGGTACTGACGTACTGAAGGCCAACTATATCAATTTATTATTAAACTTAGTGGGTGTATATAAGCGTGATACATCATAAATACAGCTATTCAGTTTTGCGTATATTTTTGTATTTACTTTTCCTTAAGCTGCTTGGCAGTCTGGGCGTCATGAAAGACAGGGTGGGGATACAAGAAGGAGTTCTTGTTTGTTTTCGTTTGGTCGAAACAACTAACAAAAAGGTGCAATCCCCGATTCACGTCTAACAACGCAGACAGCCGGCGCCGAGCCAAATGCCCTCGAACATATTTTTGAATTTTTACAGCAAAAGTTGAAAGCACCAACCGGCTGCGCTTGCACCGCAAACACGCGTAATAGGAATAACTAATTGGAATAATTTGGGAGTGATTTAGAAAGAAAACACAAAGAAACGACTCATCTGGAGGAAGCACAATAGACGGCAATTAAGCTGAAAGGGAGAGGACGTTTGACAGGAAGAGTTACATAGCAGAAAAGCAAAGCCAAAAAAGGACTGACGACCCAACAAACACGCAATAAGCGAGACAAAAAGAAGAACCACCAGGGGCCAGAAACGAAAAGGCAAAAGGACGAGCAAAACCACGAACTACACAAGCAACAGACAACAGCAATCAAGGACGAGCAGACAAGCAAGCACAGACACACAAGCAAGCGCTGGAATGGAAGAAAACCAAAACAGAAAGAGGAAACAAGACGACTTATACCACAAAATACAAACAGAGTGTGAGCGAGTGTCACAGAAAGCCAAACAACAGCTCAAAAATAGAAGGAACTGCTGGTGCGGCGTTACCGTTGGGCTTCAAGGGTAAACTGGAGTTCATCTTTGTAGAACACTTTCGTCTTTCCTACTAAACAGCAATCCCCACTAAAGGCAAATCGCTGACGCAGACAGTCCACCTGCTCGCATACACACTTTACCAAGCATACGTGGGTGAAAAACTGATTTCTAGGAGGTTCGCGTTGTCAAAGGCATGAACACGGTTTCAGTATAGCTTGCATGCTGTTGCGTGTTTACTGTTTATCTGCCCCGTCATGCCCAGCTAAGTACCTAACGAACCAACCAGCTAACAAGCGAGCCACCTAAGTATATATATATATAATAT